CCCCAAAACCCCAAAACCCCAAAACCCCAAAACCCCAAAACCCCATTAGAGAGAAAGAAGATTGAAGATCATTATAATAAAAATTTCAGTCATTTTAGAGATCTTGTATTGAGAGAAGATCTGAGCTCTGAGATTGTGATCTGCGATATGTGAACACTAAAGCTTACCTTGACACAGAGTTAGAGGTGAAAGATGGAAAATCATCCATATGCTCAGGAATTTCATCAGGCTCCACAGATTCATCATAGATTATATTTTGTACATAGACACCTGAGGATGATTCATTCATACTTTCATTAAGGAAGTGAGCCTCTTCAGATGCAGATCCCATTATATCAAACCTTCTCTCCGAAGGATTTGATTCAAATGGTTCTTCTGAATCGCTTTCAAACTCGTCTGCTTGATTTCGAAAGTAGATTGTCTATATTTATCAATAAGAGTTTTCATGTTAACAAAATTTACCTTTCTACATATTGGACAAGTGTTTTTTTGTTTAAGCCAAGAGCTTATTCAAGTGTTGTGGAAAACATGCTGACATTCTGTCAAGATGGCTATCCCATCAACCTCCATACTTTCGAGCATTTCTTCATTTGATTGAGTAAGTTCTTTTTGCTTAATGGTATACATTTTTAATTTGCTATTTGTCTTGAACTTATCTTGAGGAGAAAGTCACCTCTCATTCTCTTCTTTAGTTGCAATCTTTTTATTCTTTTGATAAATCACAGCTATTAATTCCTCCTAAACAAGATATGATACTAAACTACCTCATTCAGTTCTCCCTTCAGTTCTTCTTTAATACTGCCCAATGCTTGATCACATTGCTTTTTAATGAACAAATACTTTTTGAAATCAAAGTCATCAAAGCATACAGCACAACTCTCATTGTCTAGACCAATTATTCAGAAAATTTTAAGTGGATTATTTCAAATACAAAATAAAAATGGTGCTGTCTCTTGCTAAGTTTTCTATTTGGACTGTCCTCTATGACTTTCCCATAATAAACTTATCTCATTTCATGAATACCTAAATTTACGCAATCACAGCCATAGAGTACAGTTGGGACACATTACTTAGCCAGAGACATCATCTTTACAATTCCAAACTCCAAATACGCTCCCTAAGATACCTCTCTCCTTCCAGTCAAAAGTTTTGCTCAACATCGATCAACCTATCCTGGTTTCTTCTCTATCCTACTCCAATCACCACCTCTCTTACCCTCCTCCTTATACTTTCCTCTGTCTTTGACTTGTTTCAGCACCTAAAATTTCCTAAATCTCTTCCTAAACCCCCTAAAATTTCCACTGTATTTCTATCCATTGGCTTACTTTGAGAAGAACTTGAACATCTTTATACTAATTCTAGTTATAAATCTGGGGTTTTGGGGTTTTGGGGTTTTGGGG